AAAAAAAAAAAAAAAAAAATAAATAAAATAAATTAAATTGTGGCTGCTGAGAGATCCTCCTAGTTATTGCGGACGCTGGAAATGATAGACTTCACGACGCACTTTGTGGCGCGTATACCGCGCTTGAATGGGGCCATTTGTGTACTATTTATGTATTAACGCCGAGCTTTATGATGTATTCTTACTTTTTACGAGCCTTACCGGACACCTACGTAGGTGTAGGTTCGTTAGATTAGATACAAGAGCTATTTAGAGAGCGCTGCGCTATTTTCGACGTGTTGATTAATATCTACTAACTCATCAGACTGAGAAGCTTTATAGGATTTTCTCTGTAAGGGAGCGGTATCTATGTAGAATAGAAATGCCAATAGGATCTCTGAGCTTAATATATACAAGAAAATAGAGTAGCTACATCCTAGCTTACCGAATATCGCAAAATATTAAAGAATGAAAACAGCATGGTGGAAAAAACCCTGTGACAGAAAGGGGCTAAATATAGCCTGATAATTCAACAACAATAGTTTACATCTTACAAAATTCACACAGTTTGGGAAGCACAGTTTAGGTTTATTCCCAAGGAACGCAAATAGTTTGAGGTCAAACTGTTCGATTACGAATAAAAATTGCCCGCATATGACTGGAAGCTACCTGATGAATCACTTCTTAGTATCCTTATTGGTTGCTCAGCTTCGTTGCCTTCTTTGATGATTTTTTCCTTTTCCCCGGCCGCCATGGTACTGTCCATGTATCTCACGTAGCAGCCACTTGAGGAGTCCGCCTTCATATGCCTCTTCTTTTGGAAAATATTTGCCTTTTTGTATTGTGTATTCCTTGAGTTCGAACTCGGTCTCAAAGATACGAATTGAGCCGCCGATGCGGTGACGATCAAGGAGATCGACGAGGTTAACATGCGTCTTGGTAACAGCCTATATCCACGTCAATATTTAATAGATACTGATTGAAGGAGGTCTTGTAATACCTTGCGTCGATCTCGAAGCTTTCGAGGTATGGGATTAATGCCCAGCAAAGCACAAATACGACCCCACGCTTCCCGATCCTGATCGTCATGACCAAAAGCTGAATTAAATGCCAGCACGGTAGCAACACGAAAATCCGCCCATGCAGCCTTTTGTTCAGGTGGGTAGTCGCCTTCGATGTTTCGGCTCCAACCGAAAAAGCGGCACAACCGTCGGAACTCCAATGGTGGAGAGCGATTCCGATTGTAGTCAAAAGTAGGATATTGAGAAAAAAATTGGTCGATTTCATCCTCCATATTTGGTGGTCCTGTTGCAAAGTGGTGTATGAGGCAGGTTCAACTGAACTAAGGTAGGTGGCGGTATTTCTTTGGTAGGAGACGTAGCTGGCTTATATATGGGTAGGTTGGGGAACCAAGCTGCTAGTCGCGTGAACCGTTTCATGAGGATCGGCATACCAACACCACCTGAAGGTGTCACTAAGGGCTACTCTAATCCAAGTACAGTGGTGGCTTGGAACGAGGAATGCATTTAAATTTTTCCATGACATCATTTACATTATTATATGCGTTGAACACTTTTTTTTTTTTTTTTTCCGTTGTGGTTGTTATTTCAATACTACTATATCCTCCTGCTACACCCTTTAAGCAAACACACGACTGTTTCATTCCTTTATGTATGTAAATCTCGCTGCTAGTAATACTTTTACAACGAAGCCGTGTTCATTTCTCTCGTACAGTTTCAATCTCATAGTATCTAAAATACAGGTACGCGTCTAGCTTGAAAAAGTTAACGATAAAGAGAGCTCTATGGTCCTAAGTCCTCCTCCCGTACGATTTATCCGCCCTCTTAGCCCTTGCTGATTTCCTCTTCTCTCTCGTCTACCTCTGGCTTCTGCTTCCGAATGAACGGGTCCGCCTTCTCTTCCAACCCGATTACACGAATCCTAGCCGCGCCTATCTCCTCCGTATCAGCGAGGTCTGCGCAAAGCTCCGTAAGGGAAATGGCAATCATGGTAGTTTCGGCAAGGGCGTGCACTTTTGGGAACATGTTCAGGATGATAAGGCAGAAGAAGTCGGTGAGGGTGAGGTTGAGGGTGCCGGAGTTATACTGGCAGGTTGATTGATTGATTGATTGATTCGTTTTACGTCTATATG